GACTGCCAAGAGGAGCACTTAAGGTGTTGCATTAGGGGAGCTAAATTACATGACTTACAGGAGAAAATTGAGGATGATTTCAGCACTAGTTTCACTTCCAATGAAACCACAACTTGACAGGGATGGAGAGTTAACAGGACCATGATTGTACTTATTCATTTCTCTGTCTTAGACAATCCCTTCGTATTCAATTTGAATGTTTGTACACGATCCTCCATAGGGGGCTTTAAGAACTACTTATGGCAAGGGTCCTTAATGCTCCCACTCGTCCACTTACTTTTCTGCCTTATTTAGTGGTTTAGTGATCTACTTATCAGATTCTCTAAGATTTAGAAGTTTGATTCAAAACTCGGTTGAACATTATTTCCTATCAACTATTCTATTTTCGTTGACAGCATTGATTTTAAGATAAGAACCATTGAGCTTGATGGTAAGAGGATCAAATTGCAAATCTGGGATACAGCCGGTCAAGAGCGATTTCGAACTATTACAACAGGTTGGTGTTTAATCTTGTGCAAGTTGGATTTTTTCTTCTTTTTGTTTTAGATGTTTTTAAAGGGATAAATGTTTTCATAGAGGCTTCCATCCTTATTTTCATTGGGTTAAGAGCGGATGAATGTTAGATATAGCATCATCAATTTGGGTATAGCTTGGAAACTTTAAATTTAGCTAGCTGTTTATCCCTAATTATGTCATAGTGAAGTTGTATATAGTAGATAATGAAAAATTCTGAAACATGAAGCAGATTGCTTATTTGAGAAAAGCAGGAATATAAAAATGAACTCTGATGCGATTATTTAAGAAGCTTTAATGATAAGGTTCCATCTTACTAAATTCTTTCTTCGAAACTTAATAGTTGTTTTTCGTCGTTTTGTTTGTTTGGCCGCTAGTGTTTTTAATGGAGGATTTTGAGTGAGTGTGCTTATGTATGTGCTTTAATTCTTATGAAGATATGACCATTATTTTAAGATTATAGTATCTAGTATGTTTTGATGCTTGACTTTGCTGATGCATTTATGCTCCTGCAGCTTACTATCGTGGAGCCATGGGGATTTTGCTGGTTTATGATGTTACGGATGAGTCATCTTTCAACAGTAGTTTCCCAACTCTCTTAATTTTGTTTTTGGCATATTGTAAAGTTATAATTTAGATGGTTTGATATGCTTTTATTGTTGGATGATTTCCTTCATTTATATGCTTGTGTCCTTGATTGGGTTAGCCAATTAAGTTAGTTTATATCTGATCCTCCTCATCCCTGCTTTTGTTGGGGTGGACGGCTGAGGATCTATCTCTGTTGGAATGGAGTTTCTTGATGTGGATCTCATCTCTTACGAGTCTTATAGAGCTAGCTTCTGTTCTTGTACAGATATTAGGAACTGGATTCGCAATATTGAACAACATGCTTCAGACAATGTCAACAAGATACTGGTTGGAAACAAGGCTGACATGGATGAGAGCAAAAGGGTAACCTTTTCCCTTTTGATTATTTGTAGAAATGCTTATCTTTTTATTTTGGTGGGTTAGATTTTGGGTTCATTGAGTGGGCATGCAACCCCTCCTCTGTTGAATGACTTGTGTTACTGACTTTGCTTCTTGTAGTCCTTGTGCACTCTTTAAGTGTGAGAAAAAAGATGAGTTGCGCTTGAATCTGTAATTTTTATTCCTAAAGGGCTAGGTCTTCTGTATCCCCACACATATGCATGCAAGACGGAAACATTTCTCCTCTAATAATTGACAATGATCTTTTTTTCAGGCTGTGCCCACCTCCAAGGGTCAAGCTCTTGCTGATGAGTATGGTATCAAGTTCTTTGAAACTGTAAGTTGCACGTTTGCTGCTGAGTGGATCTTTTCTGTTGTTATGTTGTCAACTATTTTTGGCTAATAGCAAAATAATGTATTCTGCAGAGTGCAAAGACAAATTTGAATGTGGAGGAGGTTTTCTTTTCAATAGCTCGTGACATTAAGCAAAGGCTTGCAGAATCTGATAATAGGGCTGAGGTACTCTCTCTTCTTTGGAACTTTTATTTTTCTCTATTCACTTTGAGTAACTATGTCAATGGCACCTCGATTGGGAATATAGTTTTTAAACCCTTACCCTGCTACTTGGTTGAAATGATGGATGCCTTGTCTCTTTGTTTGTGGTTACAGCCCACGACGCTCAAAATTAATCAGCAAGACCCTGCAGCAAGTAGTAGTCAAGCTGGCCAAAAGTCAACTTGCTGTGGCTCATAAACGGAATAAAAAGAAAAAACGCAGATTCAGGATGGAGGGTTCAGCTTTTGGCAGTCAATCAAATGTAAAACTAATTGTGATGACATTATGGTGGTTTCATGTATTTATCTCTGTTATTTTTTTCTTTCCAACTACCAGGCTTAGCTTGTTAAAGATAACGGCAGTTCCTTTTTTCACTTAAAAGTTGTGGAATGTTATAACGTGGCATGTGTCTTTCTGCCTCTTGAACTCAGGTGACCCTTATAATGTATTGATCATGATGTAGATAGACAATCTGAATTCAAGCTTGTTTTCCTGAAAATGTTGTTAGAATGACAATTTCGTATTATATTTTCCTGCAAAAATCATGTTTGCCTCCACACCTTACAAGAGGGAAAAGGATAGTTTGTTTTGTCCTTTCAGTTCTTTATAGAATGATAAACTGCCAAAGAATTCAACACACAGGCCATTTCTGGTTTCTCTTAAACACAGGCCATAGCTAAACTGGTTAGCCATTATCATGGCTCAAAATGAAAGATGAAACACAATTCTGCCCAGAGTCAAGCTTTGAGCCTGGGCCTTGTGTGCTATAACTGTTGGCCCTTTCTCTTTCACTGCCTGGCCCTTGAAAGGTTTGTCGATGAGCAGTTTTCCTCTAAAGACAATTGGAGGCTTGGAGCCTGTTCTCTTGCTTCCCTCACTTCTCTCCGACAAAGATTTCTTCTCAAGGATTATTTCTTCTCTGATTTGTTTGATGAGATGGCATATGCTGAGCGGTGACAATGATTGTAGCAATCAAAATGAAAAAGTTGAAGCAAATTTAAGGACATTGTAAAGCATATAAACCATATTTTTTTTATGTTAACTAACATCTGTTTAAGGCAACACATCTCAGCCAATCCAACATGAATGCTTCCCCCTTTTGTCTCTTTCATGCTGACTACTACTTTTGTAACGAAGAAAATTGAACAAAATGTGTACACAACAAGGTGCAGGGTGGAAAGGCAGACCCTGCCTAAAGCTAAAGGATTCAATGTTTTTAAATTGTTTCCTGTACGTATAATCACTTTCATTGTTTTACCTCAACTTTGCATGATTTTCCCATTATACCTAAGATTCCTAGAAATAGTCATGTAGTAGGCAATTGGTGGAGTGATTATCACTTCAAGTCACTTGGTAGTGAAGTTCAATCCAGGAAGCAACGCCCTTACATCTACTAACAATAATGTAAACCAATTAGGTTGAGAAAAACATCGGAATGGGGCTAAATTTATGGCGAAACAAGCGGAGGGATTCTTCAAGTAACATGCAAAAACATTTACTGCCTTGGAAAACAAGACTTTGACAAAGGAGTGGGCTAATAATGGAGTCACTGATGATGGAAGCAAAACGTAATTGCATCGGAACTAATCATTGGTAAAGAAAACAGATGACAAACATGAACAGTTTTGGTCTTTCTTTGATCAGTGGCAGCTAAGATTCTGTTCTGATTTTGAATTTGTTCATGGTTTTTGTCTTTGCTTTACTCAAATGTTGTAAGGTTAATCTGATATTTGTCTGATAAACCAGAAAACAACAAAATCTTTTCATTGCTTTGACCTCCCTTTACAACATGTGATCCTCTTTTCTTTGCCTTTTGATCTTTTTATACATAAAAATAATGCTTGACTAACAACCACATGGAGCCATGGAACATGAAAAAAATAATTGGTTCCTTGGAGTGCTGCACATGGAGATGCAGTCCAAGCATAGATAATGGCGTCGTAAAAGCTAAAACTCTTGTTGCGATTATCTTTGACCAAGAATATATACCATATACCACTGGGATATTGGACTGGTTTTTGGCATTAGGTTTATTCATTGAAGATAAGTAAAGAAAGTTGCATGGAGACTGGGGACAAAAATCCATTCTTGCCAGCGGCATAAGCCTTAGAAAACTGATATCCAAACAACATCCCTGGTTTTGAAAAGCCTATCTCTCTCAGGAATCTGAACAAAACTTGTCTCTGACATTGGCTTCTTCTTTGTACTCAGCACAGACCTTCACAACTAGACAACTTTCATTTTCATCAGTCCCTTTTAGCTTCTCAGCCCAACCCTGAACACAACAAATTTAATACTAGATGACAAACAGAATAAATAAATGAGAGCAAGAGAGAGAGACAGGCCCCAAAGCTTATTAACACTCCCCATGCTTTGGTAACAATACTTCAAGTATATGCATGAGAGATGAATACTACTATATTCTACAAAAGCAAGCAGTAAAGAGAGGGGCGCAAATTCAAATTCCCATTATTTTCCAAAGCAGCAAAATATTCATCCTTCAGCAATAGAAACCAAGAAACTCGAACCATGGAAATTGGGGAGCATGACAAACTTGCTGTGGTAGTGTCTTGTTGGTGCTGCTAGCTGTCAAAGACCCCACCTTAACAAGAGTCCCCTCTCTGACCAAAACAAGTATCCCCTCTTTTCTTTCCAGATCAGATAAACAAAAAGATGCAAAAGGAAAACTAGAGTAAATTCAGGGAGAAGGGTCCTTGGAGTTGATATGCTGATAGCTACCTTTTCCTTTGATCCCTTCAATTATTATGTCTTCCAGAGCCTGTCCACTTAAAGTCACTTTCATACCTGTCCATATCCAAATGATAAAATGATAAAAAAATAAAAAAAAACTATTTACAGCTCGTTACAACACCCCACATGGGCATTGATTTTCTGATGGTGGGGCTAGTAAGCTTAATAAATATATATTTTTATTCATGTGCAAAGATGTTAAACCCTGGTGTACATAGTTTACCATCTCTTCTCTTGACAGAAATCCTTCTGTCTGTATCAAATGCTCTTCCTTCTGTCCTTGGTACTTTTATTTTGAAGAATGGTGACAGATTATGAAGTTTTAGTGAATGAATACCAAATGTACATACAATTATCAGGCCCATCAAATATAAGATATTGGGTAATAACTTCTTCTTTGAGCTATCTTGTTTTCAATATCTTCCTCCACCCATTCAAAAGCAAATGAAACAAAGGGTTGTTTGCAAGGAAAGAATGTTCATCATCAATCAGGCTTGTTCTCTAGTGCCAGCTTTGATGAGTTGCTGAAGATTATTGTACAACAACGTGGATGAATTTGAAGAAGCAAAAGGGTTGTTTAAGCACTAAACTGCCAAGTAGATAGTAAAGACCGGCCAGCTACCTTTCTTGAACACTTTGTTTGCATCAAGAATAGGAGTGGACCAGTGGGAGCCATTGCGCAAAAAACCAAATTTAGTCAAGCAAAGTTCAATTATAAGGATCCCTTGATCTCTGCTTCCTGTGGCAGGTACTACAATGTTGAGTTCTTGAATCTGGAATTTAGTCTTCCATTTCATAATTACATAATTGAATCATTAATGTATTATTTTATAGCCTATATTTTAAGATCACCTGTTTGTTTTTTGTTAAATACTTGAACTAAAAATTCTCTGGGTTTTCCGCATTGCAGGTTCAATGTTCAATAGAGAAGATGTCGAAGACTGTAACTATAGTTGGAGGTGCTATGGGGGCACTTGCATTTCTGGCAATGGTAATTGGATTCATTTGGTTCTGCAAGTCACAAAATAAGAACTTTTCGAATAGAAACTCTGATACAGGTTCCTCAGATCCTTCTGCACGAGGTAAGGTTTCATTTTTTTCTAGCAATTCATGCTTCACTTCTTTAATCACTACATTCCTTCCTGCTCCAACATCGCAGCCGAGTGGAATAGAGGAGTTGGGCCAAGTTCTGCAGCTGGATTTTCTTTATTCGGAACTCAGGGAAGAAGGTTCACATTGGAGGAGTTGGAGCAGGCTACCAAACAATTCAATGCAGGTAATCTCATTGGACATGGGAGTTTTGGTTCAGTGTATAAAGTTTTGCTTCGTGACACTGTAGTAGCTATTAAAAGACGTCAAGGAGCTCCCCAGCAGGAGTTTGTTGCGGAGGTATAATCAAAGTCCCATGAAATGTCAAGCATTAGAATTTTGTTCTTACTTCTAAGCCAACAGTAAATGGATGAAGTATGGATCATCAGCTTAACATTTTACATTTTAACAGCTCGAAACTTGTAGGATTCAGACAGAAAGTTAACATCTATGTATGTACAACAGGCAATTTATTTGTCAGAGATTCAACACCGTAATTTAGTTACTCTTCAAGGCTACTGCCAGGAAAGTGGATCACAGATGTTGGTCTATGAATATTTACCAAACGGCAGCATGTGCAATCACCTATATGGTAATGACTCATTAACAACATTAGTTTTTTTTTTTTATGATCATCAATGAAACGCATCTTGTCCATCAATTCTTTGGCAGATTCTAGAATGGAGTCATCAACTAGATTAGAGTTCAAGCAGAGGCTATCCATAGCACTGGGGGCGGCCAAAGGTGAATCCAACAGATTTATCTGGTGAGGAAATGCTAGACTAACTCAAGAAGGTTTCAAAAATAAAGGGAAATTATGTTTATCCTGTGCAGGTTTATGTCATTTGCATGGCCTGAAACCTCCATTAGTACACAGGAATTTCAAAACAGCCAATGTCTTGGTTGATGAGAACTTCATAGCTAAGGTCGCCGATGCTGGGGTCTGGAACCTACTTCAAAGGATTGAGGAAGGAGGTCCATCTTGCACGGCTAGTGTCACTGTTTTTCAAGATCCAGAGTATGAATCGATTTCTCTTAAAACTTGCATTACTTTTTTTTTTTGGTGGCAGAATAGAATAGCCTTGACCATTTACTCAGTTAATCATGTTAATCAATGTCAGGGCAGAAGCATCAGGGACCTTCACTGAAATGAGTGATGTTTACAGCTTCGGGGTATTTCTTTTGGAGCTCATAACTGGACAGGAGGCTGTGCATATGGATTCCTTGGTATCCAACGAAAGTTTAATAGAATGGGTATGCTGTAGTTAACCTGCTGTTTAACTATGGACACCAGGAAGTTACGTAATTATGATGCTCCATGGATTTCTTTTGATGTTTTTCTTCATCAAGTTACAAGCTAAATCTTAATCTTTCAGGTTCATGAATCCGAAAGGGTTGTTTGCTTGTAGCAGAAATGTGCTCTTTTCTGTCAATACTCACATTTTTTTGCTTACTCTCCCTTCTGCAGACCTATCACCTCACATGCAAAAATCAGTGATAGAGACCAATTAATAATTAAAGTCTATTTCTTTTTTGTAACTTTTTTGAAGGTACGATCACGGTTGAGTTCAGACAATTTTGTGGACCATCGACTGGTTGGAAGCTTCACCATGGAAGGAATCAGGGACATGATCAGGCTGACATTACAATGCATGACTTTTCCAGCAAAATGCAGGCCCAGAATGGACAAAGTTGTGCTTCTGCTTGAACAGATTCATGAGAAAGAGATGGCACTGACAACAGTGATGGGTGAAGGTACTGCTACAATTACTCTAGGCAGTGAGCTGTTTGCTTCTTCAAAATAGAGAGATTCCTTGATACATTTGAGCTAAAAGTTAAGCCTAATAAACTCATCAACAAATTTTAGGGCCTTTCTGCCTTATTTGTTTTTGGTGTGGCAGGGGATTCATTCAGGGATTGGGATTCCATTAAAGTACTGAAATGTAACATCTCACCCAAATGGGTGGTCTGGGGTTTAATTATTGGGGACCATGGGATTTATGTCAATATAAATTGTAAATAAAAAGATATGAAATGTAACTATGATTTCAAAAATAAATGATAACATAGGTAGAATGTTTTGACCCCGGAAGAAAATTTTAAATTTCACATCAATTGTGTACTGAAGTGAGATTGAGTATTTAAATATTCATATTATTTTTAACTTTTGAAAATTTTTTTATAAAAGGTAATCGTGAATTTTAATTTAAACACTTCACATTTTAGTGTATATCATGACAGAAAACATGTGAATGTAATTTTAATTAATATATTCTTTAATTCCCTGTAATTCTTAAAACAAACAAGCAAGTTAACAATTTATAGCCAGTGGACCATCTCAGGTCAGAAAGCATGGATATGATAACTATTAATTTTCAGAGAAGCTAATCTCCTTGGGGGTAAACTTTTGGTAGTGACAAGGAAGAGTGGTAGTTGTCTTCACTTTGAAAAGGCTGCACTGCAGCAATGGGTTTTCTGCTGGAAAACAAGTTAATATCAGTGCTTGAATGGCCTTCCCTGTCTCACCATGGTCCATGGCAGACAATTTTCAGTCAAAGCCACTTCACTTTGTACACAGGAAAATGATGATTATGACTTATGACAAAACCCATTTTTTTCCCATGTGTGTAAGCATGGGAGCCATGTGCAGAAATAATTCAGATATGATATAAATGGGTTGCAATAGCATGGCACATGTGATTGAGTGGTGAATTTATTGTAAGCTTACATCAATAGGTTAACCTGAATTCTAGAAAAGGGGAGAGGGGAGGACACAATGAGAGAAAGAAAGATGATATGTTTTCTTTCTCAAAATAGAAAAGCTTTCGTTTTTTATATAATTTATCGTGTTAAAAAATAAATAATTGATATAATTTATATAATTTATTGTGCTCTAATCTTATTATAGAATTTAGAAGTTTGAAATTTTTCTAAATTAAGAAATATGATTTTAGTTGAAAATTAAAAGTATTGCTAAGTTGAAAATTAACGCAGAAGTTTAATTGATGATCTAATCATATGCTTTATTGTTGTAGCTAGGTCGGTCTGGTTCTTAATATTATGTGTCCAAATCAATCGAATTGACCTAGATTTTTAAGACAAAAAATATTAAATAAAGAAAGAAATAAAGAATTTGAAAGTCAAATAATGGGACCCCACTTTGAATGGTCGGCCTTCTGGATTTTCGTATGCCTTGTCGTCGCCATCAAAACTTCTCTCTCTGCTTCCGACGAGGACGAAGGTCTTCTAGGGACATGATTTTACCGAAAGCTAATTCAAATTTTAGGGTTTAGCTTTTATTGAATATGTGACTTCGTGATAAGTAGTGTCATGATTTATTCAAATTTCCACTAATACGTGATTGCTCGTGAAAGATGTTACAGTCGAGATAAAATCGAATTAAAGAAGATTTTTTTTTGATTTATAAAAGAATTAGTGTAATTAGAATGTAATAAAATATTACGAATGTCAAAAGAAAAGTCTTATTTATTGTATAAATAAATTTTTTAATTAGTAAATATATTTTTTAATTTAAAATATTAATTTATGATAAATAATATTATAATTTATTTAAATTTTTATAAATATATGATAGTTTGTGATAGATATCATAATGGAGAAAATATCAAATTAAGGTGGATCTGTTTCTATTTGTAAAAGCATTATGATAAAATGAAACAAATCATTTATATATTTTTTAGTTAATAGTTATAATTTTTGAATTAAAAATGTGAATTTGTGAAAATTATTTATATTTATATATATATTTTAAAAATTATAATAAAAAAGAAAAATCTATTCACTGTTGAAGATGCTAAATAAAAGCAAAGGGAATCTAAGAGTAAATTGTTTCAAATCAAAACTATTTTCTTATTTTTCCTTTTTGTGGATAAATCACAATTATTTTCGAATAATCATGACTCTTGAATTTATTCAAAGTTGGCTCTTACTAAGAGCGTCGAAGAAACGCAATGACAAGTGGACTTCAATTTAAATAAATAAATATATAATTTTAATATATAAAATGTTAAATATGAACCATAACGTCTATTCTTTTAAATAATTTTGATAATATTTTAAGGAAAATTAATTAATTGAGGTAAGAATAATATTTTCCCAATTTTTATTTTTATTTTTATTTAGAACTTAAAAAATGGTATGTCCAAATGAAAAAAAAAAAAAAGGGAAAAAGGGCAACTAAAATTAGGTTTGTCCAGAAAAGAAAATACGAAAGGAAAAGGGAAGAATAAAAGGAGGAAGAGCAGACCAAGATTTTGGTCTTAACAAGTCTTGAAGCCTACAGTCACCGTCACCGTCACCTTCGCCTTAGGGTTTGAAAATTTTCTCTCCCATTTTCCAGGTTATTCCCTTTGTTTTCTTCCTCTCCAAACATTTCCTTCACTTTAATTTTAACGTTTTTTTTAATTTTAATTTTCTGTATCTACTAAACACTGATTATCTCTTGAGTGTCACTGGTAAATCTACTTCCCCTTTGTTGATTTTCTTTTTCTTCAATTTGTTTTTTTGATTTGATCTTTTTTTTTTCTTTTTTTTAATAAATTTTGTTGGTTTTTGTTTGGATGAATATGCCATAATCAGTAAACAGCTGTTTCTTTGAATTGATTTGATCCGTTTGAACTAAGTGTAAAGGCGAGAAATTTACATTGAATTGTGCTATCGGATTTTATTTGGATTATTTTAAGCTTTACAAGAAGTTTTGATTTTTTCTTGAAAATTTTGTTCATTTAGTTGACATCATTACTGTAATTGTGAAGACAGTCTAATTTCGTTATTGTTTTATTCGTTTGTAGCATTGGAGCAGTGGTATCCTTCATTTATATTCATAACCTTGTTGTAGGCTAGTTTTATGTCATAAATCGAAAATTTTTATGTGTTTCTAGCATTTGAACTATGAAAGTTGTCACTTTTGTGAGAGCTAGCTTAAGAATATTAGTGAAATTGGATGCATAGATTGAACAAATTTATGCACTTTCCTGCATTTGAGCTATCAATGTTGTCAAATTTTCTTACATGTATCCTGTTTAATAATTTGTATATTCTTTAAATAGGTTTTTGATATATAAAATAAGGGCAGATGGTTTTTTGATTGACGTCTGATCCTGGAGGTATAGTATACTCTTTGGGAATCAGTGGCGCATAGATATTGTTGATTGATAGATATGGGGTGGTTTAGAGCTGGTTCTAGTATGGCAAAGCTTGCTATCAGGAGGACTTTGTCTCAGGGTGGATCATATGCTGCAAGATCACGTATTGTTCCGTCACAGAATCGATATTTTCATACCACTGTCTTTAAATCTAAGGCACAGTCTGCACCTGTTCCTCGCCCTGTGCCACTTTCTAAGCTAACTGACAGTTTCTTAGATGGAACCAGTAGTGTGTACTTAGAGGAGCTTCAAAGGGCCTGGGAAGTTGACCCAGATAGTGTTGATGAGTCATGGGACAATTTTTTCAGGAATTTTGTGGGTCAGGCTGCCACATCCCCTGGAATTTCAGGCCAGACAATTCAGGAGAGTATGCGACTGTTATTGCTTGTGAGGGCTTACCAGGTTAATGGTCACATGAAAGCAAAGTTGGATCCCTTGGATTTAGAGGAACGAGAAATCCCTGATGATTTGGATCCAGCTCTTTATGGTTTTACTGAAGCTGATCTTGATAGAGAATTCTTTTTAGGTGTGTGGAGGATGTCTGGATTTTTATCAGAAAACCGACCAGTGCAAACACTGAGGTCAATTTTGACTAGGCTTGAACAGGCTTACTGTGGAAGAATTGGGTTTGAGTACATGCACATTGCTGACCGTGAGAAGTGTAACTGGTTAAGAGACAAGATTGAAACCCCAACTCCGATGCAGTACAATCGTCAGCGTCGTGAAGTCATTCTTGACAGGCTTATATGGAGTACGCAGTTTGAGAATTTCTTGGCCACTAAGTGGACAACAGCTAAAAGGTTTGGGCTGGAAGGAGGTGAGACTTTGATTCCGGGAATGAAAGAGATGTTTGACAGGGCTGCAGACCTTGGAGTTGAGAGCATAGTGATTGGAATGCCTCATAGAGGAAGATTGAATGTGCTAGGTAATGTTGTTCGAAAGCCACTTCGTCAAATATTTAGTGAGTTCAGTGGTGGTACAAAGCCTGTGGATGAAGTAGGGCTTTACACAGGAACTGGTGATGTCAAATATCACTTGGGAACTTCTTATGATCGACCTACAAGAGGTGGAAAGAGAATCCATTTGTCTTTAGTTGCAAACCCCAGTCACTTGGAAGCTGTGGACCCAGTTGTTGTTGGAAAAACTAGAGCAAAGCAGTATTATTCCAATGATGTGGACAGGACCAAGAACATGGCTATTTTGATTCATGGAGATGGTAGCTTTGCTGGACAGGGTGTAGTTTATGAAACTCTTCATCTTAGTGCCCTTCCCAACTACACAACTGGTGGGACTATACATATTGTAGTGAACAACCAAGTGGCCTTTACAACTGATCCAAGGGCGGGCAGATCTTCACAGTATTGTACTGATGTTGCCAAGGCCTTGAATGCTCCCATTTTTCATGTAAATGGAGATGATGTGGAGGCAGTTGTCCATGCTTGTGAGCTTGCAGCAGAATGGCGCCAAACCTTCCATTCAGATGTGGTGGTTGATTTGGTCTGTTATCGTAGATTTGGTCATAATGAGATCGATGAGCCATCATTTACACAGCCAAAAATGTATAAGGTCCGCCAGCCTAGTTATCTGTTTGGTTATGTATTTTTCTTTTACATATGTTGTAGTTGTTCCTGTATATATTATGGTCTTGCATGCTTCTGAGAAGTGAACAAAACTTCTAACATTTAGGTTCTTTTTGCTTCTAACAGATCATTCGGAATCACCCCTCAGCTCTTCAGATCTACCAAAACAAATTGTTAGAGTCTGGGCAGGTGATGGAGGAAGATATTGGTCGGATAAGTGAGAAGGTCAGTAAAATTCTTAATGAAGAATTTTTGGCCAGCAAAGATTATGTTCCAAAAAGAAGGGACTGGCTGTCTGCTTATTGGACAGGATTCAAGTCACCAGAACAAATTTCACGTGTCAGAAATACTGGGTTGGTTGGCTTTTTTGTCAATTTCAACTTTCATTTGGGGTAGCTGTGATCTGTACTCACTGATGAAACTTTTACATTATGCAGGGTAAAGCCTGAGATATTGAAGAATGTTGGCAAAGCAATCACAACCCTTCCAGATAATTTTAAGCCTCATAGAGCAGTAAAGAAGGTTTATGACCAACGTGCACAGATGATTGAGACAGGGGAGGGTCTTGACTGGGCTATGGGGGAAGCACTTGCGTTTGCTACCTTGTTGGTGGAAGGTAACCATGTTAGGTTGAGTGGTCAGGATGTTGAAAGGGGTACATTCAGTCATCGGCATTCTGTGCTACATGATCAGGAAACTGGGGAGCAGCATTGCCCTCTGGACCATGTTATCATCAACCAAAATGAGGAGATGTTTACTGTCAGCAATAGGTAAACGTTTATGTGTTGAGCTTTTTGTCTTAGTAAAAAACGGACCTTATTTGTAGAACTCTTGTTATTTTAAGGTTAATTTGGAGTCTATTTATATGTGTTTGCGAAAGAAGTCTTGTCATCTGAGCAAACGTAGCAAATAAGATATTTATTGTGTTCTGCTTTGTGGCATAACATATTGAACACTGATAAACTTGGCTGCACCTCATACTTGGAATGGGCCTTTGATATGGTTCACCATATGCAATGACTTGTACAGATTCACAGTTTATATCTTTCACTTGTAACTTGATAGTTTTCTGCTTTACAGACGATCTCCTTGCTCCTTGTGGAAAGTTATGTCCCTGCCTTAGAATTGTTAGACTGTGCTTGATAATTTTGTGTAGTTTTTAGTCTTCTGTTCTTTCTGTTAATTTTGGATTCCTTTCTGAGCAATATGTGTCCTTGACTGCAGTTCTCTTTCAGAGTTTGGTGTGCTTGGATTCGAATTGGGTTACTCAATGGAAAATCCAAATTCCTTGGTCATGTGGGAAGCACAATTTGGTGACTTTGCTAATGGGGCGCAAGTGATCTTTGATCAGTTTCTGAGTAGTGGGGAGTCAAAGTGGCTGCGTCAAACTGGTCTGGTTGTGATGCTTCCTCATGGTTATGATGGCCAAGGTCCTGAACATTCGAGTGCACGACTAGAGCGTTATCTTCAGGTATTTCCCATGAAAGGACATTCATTGTTCTTTACATCCTGATTTAGCTTCATTCTTGTTGTATTTGCATTCTGGCTATGCTCCCTCTATACATCAAAAAAAGAAAAAAACATCTTGGACTTAATTGCGCATTGATAGTACATTGTTATAATTTGACAGATGAGCGATGACAATCCTTTTGTGATACCTGAAATGGATCCAACTCTTCGTAAGCAAATTCAGGAGTGCAACTGGCAGGTGGTTAATGTTACAACACCTGCTAATTATTTCCATGTATTGCGGCGTCAGGTAAGTGCAACTGATGGTTATTAATGATGCTTGAGCTTTGAGGCTAGTCTTGCTGTTTCCTTTTCTTATTGTTTCCCTTCTCCTCTCTCAGATACACAGGGAATTCCGTAAGCCTCTTATTGTGATGTCCCCTAAAAACTTGCTTCGTCACAAGGACTGCAAATCAAATCTTTCTGAGTTTGATGACGTCCAAGGGCACCCTGGTTTTGATAAACAAGGAACCAGATTTAAGCGCCTCATAAAGGATCAGAATATGCACTCTGACCTTGAGGAGGGTATCAGACGCTTGGTACTTTGTTCTGGAAAGGTGTGCTATGCCCTTGGTTACTCCTTGTTTTCCTCTTTTATCACTTGTAAAAGCAATTTAATTCTGGAATTTTATCTGGTAGACTGAACCGGACAACTAAGAAATTATAAGTTATCTTGTTGGGCTTCAAGCTTAGTTTTCTGAGCCAACAAGGAGCAATTCTTTTTTTGTGCTGGATCTTTTTGGTGGGTTTAATATTTGTGTTGTTTTTTATTTAATAATTCCATGTTCTATCTGCTTTCAGGTTTACTATGAGCTTGATGATGAGAGAAAGAAGAACAATGCTACAGATGTTGCTATATGTCGTGTGGAGCAGCTTTGCCCGGTCCCTTATGACCTCATCCAGCGAGAGCTTAAGCGATATCCAAGTATGTAATCCAAACTCAGACTGGAACTTGTTCTTTAGCACTCATGGAAACTAAAATCAGAATTGAAGCATTTTGTAATTTTTTTTCTTGGCTGGAAATATTTTGAGAGTACACTAGGGTAATATTTGCTGATAAAAAGGCTGCTGCTGAATAAATTGCAATGGGTTTTCTACTTTTATTTATTTTGGAGCCTCGTCTCTTCGTCTTTACTTTTATAGAGAAACTGGATGTGCCTGCTGTGGGGCTTTATGCACTGTTAGGTTTAGTAAATTTTCATGTATTTGAGCCTTTTTTTCTTATATTGAGTCATGATTTCTGATTTTTCTTTTGGGTTCTTTCATTAGACGCGGAGATTGTTTGGTGCCAAGAAGAACCAATGAACATGGGTGCATTCAGTTACATTGCACCTCGTCTCGCCACTTCAATGCAAGCACTGGGTAGAGGAACCTTTGAGGATATCAAGTACATCGGTCGTGCTCCATCTGCTTCCACTGCCACTGGTTTCTATGTAGTTCATGTGAAGGAACAAACTGAGCTTGTGCAAAAGGCCATTCAACCTGAACCAATCAAGTTCCATGTCTCTGTCTGAAAAATCAAACTTGAAACAGTATAGCATTATACAATTTTCTTAATAACGTCTGGTGCAGAGCTTGGAACCCTTTGTTAGGGTTGTTATGTTGATGCTTGCCATTTTTTCCTATTCCTTGTCTGCCAAGGCACCATTGTTACTATACGCAAGGTGAACCGACTGTCAAAATATCTGAGATAATCGATGCATAACTTTCATTGTACTATTTTTTGGTTTATGAACTGTCTTGCTCTTCACAAGACTTTTTTGCATACTTTTAAGGCAAAACGATGCAGCTTCGGGGGGCAACTGTCAGAGAAATTGAGGGTTGGGTTTCATATTTCCTGGAAAATAGAGAAAAAATATCTATGGATCAAAGCTATAACTTTTGCCTCTTGTTTATCTTTGTAATGGTAAAGGAAAGAGTTACAAGATAGTTGGCAAAGAATCAGTCAGATACGGGGAAAGGATTTGAAGGAAAATGTCATGAGAAACAACGAGCAAATAGCATTGGAAAGAAGCCTTATCTTCCCCAACCCTTATCCATATATCGTTTCAACGAACGAGATCAATGGAATTTATGAAATCTAATGTTTGTGTCAAAAGGAAAGTAAAAGTAGTAAAAAGAAAGTAAAAAAATTTTCCTTTGGAATAGAAGAATGTTATTAAATATCGGTTTATATTTAATGCATTGACAACCTATAAAATTTTTTATAATTGAAAACATTTCATGTGTTATGATTGAGAATTTGTATGAAATGTGTTTTCAGTGTCTACCCGTTTTAATTTACAAAAACTGTTTACGAATAATATTGAAGGGATGTAAATTTGACTACCAAAATTATTCATAATAAGGTACCTAAGACTCTAAATTGTCTCCACTTAAAATGGAAAATGCACCACTTGGCTACCAAGCCCATAGTTATCTCCTTATACTTTGAACCATATATTTCGTGATTTTCTTTTATTTTATTTTTTTGCATGTGCATGTAAAAAAAAAAAAAGAGTTTAACACTCTTAACTCTTTTCACAGTCTATCTTATTCAGTTAATTTTTCTTTTTTTCTTTTAATTTGAGTTTTTTCTGTTATCTCTCTAACTTTCAACCTGGTATGATCAATCTTGCCCAATATTCCTTTCTTTGTTTTTTTTCTCTTTGGTTTAAAATCATTGTAAATCTTTCCCTCGATATTTATTTAACAAAAATTGATGCACACCCATACATGCTTCATGGATAATTTAAGAAGATTTGAACCCTCATCTTCTAGTTTTGAAAGTAAGATGTGAATTTTCACTAAACTATAGATTATGACATAATCAGAGAGTCATATACATTATGCTACATGCATCTTAGTTATGTCATTTCCACCATTCATATCTTTTTTTGATCTTTAGTAGTAGATCACATATATAATAGTTTTAGAGATTTTTATTTTTTTTTTCTCCTTCTGTGACCTTGATAGACTTGATTTTTTGTTTTTGATTTGTTCAGATATGTTCATGATTGAGGATTAAGCCTTGGAAGTACAATCTTGTGTGTCTGCTGGCAATTCTTTTGGATAGCTTGTGTCATAAGCAATGGCTTGGTTTAGAGCAAGTTCTTGTCTGGGAAATCTAGCCATTAGAAGAAGTCTTTCTCAGGGTGGATCATATGCAGTGAGAGCAAGAAACCTTCCTTCACAGAATCGATGTTTTCATTCCACTATCTTCAAAAGAAAGGAGCAAGCCTCACCTGTTCCGAGAGCTGTGCCTCTTTCCAGGCTAGCTGATAGCTTTCTTGATGGAACAAGCAGTGTGTACTTAGAAGAACTTCAAAGAGCTTGGGAAGCTGATCCAAACAGTGTTGACGAATCCTGGGATAATTTCTTCAGGAATTTTGTTGGACAGGCATCAGGGTCGCCTGGAGTTTCAGACCAAACCATACATGAGAGCATGCGTTTGCTGTTGCTTGTAAGGTCTTACCAAGTTAATGGTCACCTGAAAGCAAATTTAGATCCCTTGTGCTTGGAGGAAAGGGAAATTCCTGATGAATTAGACCCTGCATTTTATGGTTTCACGGAAACTGATCTTGACAGGGAATTCTTCATAGGTGTATGGAGCATGTCAGGATTTTTATCTGAAAATCGTCCGGTACAGACTCTCAGGTCCATATTGACCCGTCTTGAGCAAGCATATTGTGGGAGCATTGGCTATGAGTATATGCATATTGAGGACCGTGAGAAATGTAACTGGTTAAGAGAAAAGATTGAAACTCCGATACCAATGCAGTACAATAAGGATCGCCGTGTTGTCATTCTTGATAGGCTTATATGGAGTACACAGTTTGAGAATTTCTTGGCCACAAAGATGAAAACAGCTAAGAGATTTGGACTTGAAGGTGGAGAGACTTTGATTCCTGGTATGAAGGAGATGTTTGACAGAGCTGCCGATATGGGGGTTGAGAATATAGTTGTTGGCATGCCTCATAGAGGCAGATTAAACGTTTTGGGTAATGTTTTTAGAAAACCGCTACGTCAGATATTCAGTGAGTTTGACAAGAACTCAAAGTTGGAAGATGAAACCGGGCTTTACACAGGAACCGGTGATGTTAAGTATCACTTGGGAACTTCTTATGATCGCCCAACTAGGGGTGGGAAGAGATTTCATCTGTCTTTGGTTGCAAATCCAAGTCATTTGGAAGCTGTAGACCCTGTTGTTATTGGAAAAACTAGAGCAAAGCAATATTTTTCCAATGATTTGGACAGGACTAGGAACATGGCTGTACTGATTCATGGGGACGGTAGCTTTGCTGGACAAGGGGTGGTGTATGAAACTCTGCATCTTAGTGCATTACCAAACTACACTACGGGTGGGACTATACACATTGTAGTGAATAATCAAGTAGCCTTTACAACTGATCCAAGGTCCGGAAGATCTTCACAATATTGTACTGATGTTGCCAAGGCCTTAAATGCTCCCATTTTTCATGTTAATGGTGACAATATAGAGGCAGTTGTTCATGTATGTGAGCTTGCAGCACAATGGCGACAGACATTCCATTCAGATGTTGTAGTTGATATAGTGTGTTATCGACGATTCGGGCATAATGAGATTGATGAGCCATTTTTCACACAGCCTAAAATGTACAAGGTTAGTCTTTTAATATCCTGTTTCTCACTTTTTGTTTTCTCATGTCAAAATTTTATCTTCTTCGTAATCTAGGCCTGGGTGCTAACAGGTCATTCAAAAGCATCCCTCATCTCTTGAAATTTACAAAAACAAGCTTCTAGAATCTGGGGAGGTGACACAGGAAGATATTGATAGGACACAAAAAAAGGTTGAGTCCATTCTCAGTGAAGAATTCTTAAATAGTAAAGATTATGTTCAGCAGAGAAGGGACTGGCTTTCAACTAATTGGGAAGGGTTCAAGTCACCTGAGCAGCTTTCACGTATCAGAAACACTGGGTTGGCACATCTATTATCAATCTTGTTCTTGGTTACTGACCACCACGATTTTGTGCTTAAATTTCCTTGCTGTTAACAGGGTAAACCCGGATATACTAAAGAAAGTTGGCAGAGCAATTACAGTTCTTCCAGAAGATTTCAAGCCCCATAGAGCAGTAAAGAAGGTATATGAAGATCGTGCACGGATGATTGAAACAGGGGAGGGCCTTGACTGGGCAATGGGGGAGGCACTTGCTTTTGCAACATTGCTGGTGGAAGGTAACCATGTTAGACTCAGTGGCCAGGATGTTGAAAGAGGTACATTTAGTCATCGGCATGCTATGGTTCATCATCAGGAAACAGGAGATAAATATTGTCCTTTAGACCATGTCATGGAGAACCAGAATGAAGAGATGTTTACCGTAAGTAACAGGTAGAAGTTTGTTAACCTTTTTATGTCCCGTCACCATAAACTAGACTCTATCAACAGTGACGTCTTGCCACTATGTTTTATGCTCTCATATTTTGTTTTAACATATTAACTATTTATTTATATTTCAGCTTGAGCTATTCTTTCGGTTTTTCCAAACTTCAACTTCTATCTTCCTTAAGCCACCTTTTATCTATTTAAGCATATATATTACTTTGTAGGGTCTTTAGCCAAAATGGGGAAAAATGGAAAGTAATTCTTTAATGTAAGCCTTTTAAGTGCAAGCAAGTATAAGCTCTATGATCTCCATCAAATATTAACAGGGAATCTTTTGCAAACCTCTAAATGTAATTTGTCTGGATGCTTTCTAAGATGCATCAAGGTATCTCTCAGATTGTGTGCATCTCAGATACAAATGCAAGTCCTGCATCCTTCTTGTCTTAGGATGCAGCTTTGGAATAAATGCTGCTCGTAGAGGAGGTTTAAAGGATAATCTCCCATTTTTTAAGTACTGCATTGAAGTATGCTGCCATCATCCTCTTTTATCAAGTTGGGTTTTAGCTGTTTATAGGTTCTATATTTGTTCTATAATTGAGCAATATATGTCTTGCTGGCAGCTCTCTTTCAGAATTTGGAGTTCTTGGATTTGAACTGGGTTACTCAATGGAAAATCCAGACGCATTGGTACTGTGGGAGGCTCAATTCGGTGATTTTGCTAATGGAGCTCAAGTTATATTTGATCAGTTCCTAAGCAGTGGAGAGTCTAAGTGGCTGCGTCAGACAGGGCTTGTAGTACTTCTTCCTCATGGTTATGATGGCCAAGGTCCTGAACATTCAAGCGCGAGACTGGAGCGTTTCCTACAGGTGCTAACCTATCATATCATGGGATATCTATTAAACTTTTGTGTTTCAGTTGAGCTTTGCTGTTATTTTTGTTATTGCTTTTGATATTACCGCACCATTAGAATCAGAGATGGAGGGTGGATTTTCTTTGGATTCAATCATGTTCATGTTGGGACTATCCTTCTCGGCTTGTTGAACATGAATGATTTCTTTGGTTTGATCATTCATCATTGAAATGTCACACTTCCCACCTTGGAATCCAAAAGAAAAGAGCACAACATCAATTTAAAACCTTTGTCTTTGCCAGCCAATAGCTTGTAAAACCTTAGCATTTTCTCCTAACTTGTGCTTGGAAGAATGTTTTTCTCTGGATAATCTGCCTGGCTAAGAAAAACACTCATTTTTTTTTTCAGTTCTAAAAGATTTCAAGATTAAGATGCTTTATGTTTTAGAATAACTATTCTAAATTAGCTTAGAATTCCAATGACTATGCTTCCTGTGACAATGGCAGATGAGTGGTGAGAACCCTTATGAAATACCTCAAATGGATCCAACACATCGAAACCAAATACAGAAATGCAATTGGCAGGTTGTGAATGCTACCACTCCTGCAAATTACTTTCATGTTTTACGGCGACAGGTGAGTTTAGCACTTCTTCTAGTACTTATATTCAAAAAAAAAAAAAAAAGGAAAGGGAAAAACACTTGCTAGCTCGCTGATATACCGGGCTTCATTTCTAGATACACAGGGAATTCCGTAAGCCTCTAATTGTAATGTCTCCAAAGAACCTGCTTCGGTACAAGTTCTGCAAATCAAATTTATCTGAATTTGATGATATCCAAGGCCATGAAGGCTTTGACAAACAGGGAACCAGATTCAAACGCCTTATAAAAGACCAGAATCACCACTCTGATCTTGAGAAGGGTATCAGGCGCCTGGTTCTTTGTTCTGGAAAGGTATGCTTGTCTTCCCTATCTTATCATGCATTGTGTTGATTAGAGGAGTACCAATTATGTTGTATCTGACCCTCCAAAGACTGTTTTACTTATTTTGATAATGAGTCATTTATGCCTTTTCTTATATTCCAGGTTTATTATGAGCTTGATGAGGAGAGACAAAGGTTGAATGTAAATGATATTGCAATTTGTAGGGTGGAACAGCTTTGTCCATTCCCCTATGATCTCATCCAGCGAGAGCTGAAGCGTTATCCAAGTATGTCCCTCTGAACTTATATGAAGTGTGTGTGTTTTTACTGATCATATGCCAGTTCTTAGCTGCTCAAAAATTGTTCGTTTTATTTTTTGTCATTAATTTGGACCTGTTTTCCTTTTTTGTTTTTTTAAAAAAAGGACCTGAGTGCTACTGATTTCACTACTAATAGCTCTTCACATTGTTGTCTTGATTGTACCAGATGCTGAGATTGTCTGGTGCCAAGAAGAGCCAATGAACATGGGTGCTTACACCTACATTGCACCTCGCCTTTACACTGCCATGATGGGCATTGGTAGGGGATCTGTGGAAGACATCAAATATGTTGGTAGAGCTCCATCTGCTGCCACAGCCACTGGTTTTCTGAAAAAACACCAAAATGAACAGGCTGAGATTCTGAGGCTTGCCATGCAGCCTGAACCAATCAACTGTCCTTATTCGAGCCATTCAAATTAAGCCTGTTGAAAACTATTCCTATAAAAAATAAGGGCCTCATATCAGGTTAGAGTTCAAGATCCGAAAAAGGGGATCTTCTCTTGATTTTCAGAAAGTTTTCTTCTCTTATTCAAAACATGTTCAGCTAGAACCAGTTGTTGTATTTGACATTTCTTGCTCTATTTTTAATTTTTGTCAAGAATCTGAAACTATTGACCTTCAGTGAATTGCTCACTGTAATTAGTCTAAGAAAATTTCCTTCATTTTCTTGTCTGCTGATCCATATCTTCATGACTTTTATCTGATGCTTTTATTTTAGGCTTCCACAAATAAATTATGCAAGTGACTGCAAGGTGATGGGCAGGGTTGATTTGTCAATCATGCTATTGCTTTCACAGCTCAAAGGCTAACAGTCTCTTGCAGTAAAATGTTCTTCTAACTTAAGAGAAGAAGATGAGAATCAGATAATGTTCTGCTATTCTTTTTTTCTCTGATCTTTCCTATTTAAGATTCTTTCTGGCAGAGGGCAAATAAAGATTGTTCAAATTATGTCATACTAACATGAATCAAATCCTAAGGGTAAGGCAAAAACTAAAGAATAATCCCAGATTATCTCATAGACT